CGATAATTATGCTCACCTTTTCGGCTTTATTTTTGGGTTTCTTATGTCTTACGCTTTATTACCGTTCGTGTCGTTCGGGACTTACGACAGGACGACAAAAATAATTCTCATATGGGTATGTTTGATCGTCGTTACAGCCCTTTTTGTAGGATTAATAGTTTTATTTTATGTACATCCGATATATGAATGTTCATTTTGTAAATATTTTAATTGTATACCTCTGACCAGAGATTTCTGTGAAAATCAAGATATCAATTTTACACGGCAGGAGTATTAAAATTTTGTATATAAAAATATATATATATATTATTACATATAAACACCATACAGTGCAAGGCACTGAGGTGCAGTTCTTCCTTTGGGACAATGTTCTGAGCTAAAAGCTGATGAACCGATTTTACATGAAACCTTCAATGCACAACCAGAAAATGCAAATTGTTTTGTACAATCATTTTTCAAATGCTATGGTGTTTTTGTGATTTTGAATTGTAAATGCGGAAACATCCTCCTGAAGGAGATGAGATTTTTTTACTACTGTGATTGATGTTAAAAGAAATTATTCAAAGACATTTTGTCACTTTATACTTAATTTTGAGGAGTGACAATTGTAATATTTTAATAAAAAGCTAGTTATCATAAATCTGTTTTTATTTCCTCCTTTTACACAATTTTATCATGCAGTGGATTCTTCTTTGATTTTGTTCTTCTTCAACGGGCCCTGCATTAAAAAAAATTATTTTAGTCATAAAATTAGTGTAAAAGAAGAAAACTCTAAATAATTGCTATACTATTTAATCATCAGAAGGAAGGCAGCAAGGGAATCATCAACATTTTCAGTAATGAAATCCCTATACGTTTCATCATAAAGCAATTACAACTAAGTTTCCTAATTTAACTCAGACATTTCTACACTAGCTCTAAAAGCAATAATACAAACAACTTTAACATTCAAGTTTTCATCTTATTTATTGAAATAAATTATTATGCATTTTTAAAATTGATATTAAACTCATAAAACCAAATTCCCACTAACTGTAGTCTATTAAATTACTAGCTTTGCCCACATAGATTTTTCAATTTGATTGGACTTCATAAGATTCTCAATCATCAGTAATTTTACCAAATTAGTAACAACTAATTTTTGTTTGTTTCGAACTATGAACTGCTAATGCACCTAAAATCAAGTTTCAAATATGGGATTCCAACAAACGATAAATATGAGTTCAATTTTTTTTGGAAACACAAATGACATTATCTGAAAATTCCTAAAGAATAAATATTTACAGAAAAATAAGAGTTTTAGTTACCCCAGTACCTCTTTGTAAACCACATTTGTGGTACTGCCTTTTGGGTCTAAGACTTTTTAAGCCTTAATCCTCTCCCTCTCAGTGGAATTTCCAAAAATTCCTTCTTAGTGTGCATTCTTATTGTGTACCCTACTAAAACATAGTTAAAAACAAAAAAAAATCACATTTAAAATAGTACAGTAGAAGCCGTTCTTCAGGTTAAGCCTTAATCCTTTCCATATCCCCCGTGAAAGAATTTTGAAAAATCCCTTCTTAGTGTGCATATTCATGACAACTGAGGAAAAAACAAAGAGAACCAAGTTGAATTAATTAAGTTGGAAAAAAGAAAGTGCGCATTATAATCGAGAAAATGCGAATACTATTAATTTTTAAAATATTAGTATTAAATCTTATAAAATTGCGACTCCCGTTAATNTTCGCAGCTTTAACGGATCACCCTAGTTAATCTGCAGATTAGCTAGGTAATGTACACATTAACGGATTTCGAGCTTTAGCGGTAACACATACATAACAAAGAACTAAGTTCTCTGCAATCTCTTACCCAGAAACTTTTAGTCTTGCTAAATATTTACTAGTGAATAAGATATTCATAAAAGCATCTTAATTTATTACAAAATAATGGAAAATCTAGACAATCTTTGTATAGAGACTTTTTTTTTGGTTATTTTAATCTATTAAATAGTTTTAAAATAGTGAAGATTTTATGTAAGGATCTCTTCTCTAAATTGGGATCCTTGACTATATTCATTACTAAAAATTTTGAATAGTTTAGTTTGTAGGCATTACTTTTGATTCTGTTTCTCTCTATAAGACCACGAAAATTACAAAAAAATCCCCAGAAAATGGGGTCCTAATCTACAAAATTTATGTAACAGTTAATGTTACCCTAGGTATCGAAGATGGCAACCGTCTACATTAACCATTTTCACCATTTTGAAAACGATTTTTGAATGCTTAGTTAACTAAATAAATATCCGCGAATTCGGTAATTACAAAATATCAATTTTTTTAAAATTGGGCATTATTACTAAAATTAAATTATGTTAAACTATAATTTTACTTATGTTCAATTTAAATGTTTCTCTTTTTTCCTACTTTTGGTTATAACCGAAGTCAACTCATACTATTTGACATTCGTTTTTTACTCCGATTCTTATCAGTTTTCTCAGATGTTTTTTTTTTTGTTTCGCTGCATTTTCTTTCTTCTTATTTTTATTAACAGGAGCAGCAGGTGCAGTCTCAGGCTCTTTCCATAATGGTAATCTTCCGGATCCAGGATATATCTTACTTAAATGTTGCACAAAAATGTAGAAATGTTCACCTGGTATTTTTGAGGGCCAATCATGGTATTTTTTATACATAAAGGAGTACATATACGAATCTGATAGGTCTTCTGTGTAACGTTTCAGTAGGTTTTTTTGTTTTTGTTTTTCAAGTATCCCCATAATCTTTCTATGTTTTGGGTATGAACCCATTTTTGGGTTCACGAAATTCTCCAAATGATTAACTGTCTTATGCGTAATTTCTATGCCTTCCAAGTCATCTATATGGTTGTATCCTTTCCATTCATCTGTCAAAACTGTGCTGCCTGAATTTACAAATTTAGAGATGATCCAATTAAGCATTATTTCCAATCTATTGTTCGCTTGACATATAAAACAGCTTTTATCTTCTTGGCATATTCCGCCCACTACCCACTTTGTGCCTTTAAGTTTATGGGCTTTTTTGTATTTGTGCTTACACAAATCTTGGTCCGTAATAGACGAGACCGTAAGCTTTGTGCTTATGGTCTCGTCTATTTCAACGGTTTTATTCGTACCTCCAATTTTAAATGATAGGATATTGTGCAAAGCGACTAGCATCACGAATCGGACATGGTTCGACCAGTCAACAGTGGCCTTATTAGAAATTCCGGCAGCATTAGCTGTTGTTATTGTTGCACATTCCAATGCTAATACATAATGCCATATACAACAATATGCTACTCCAGGGAATTTTATCATATTTATCTTTAAAAGTATCATCAAATGCTGAACTGTTGTTTCAGCATTTTTGACATCTCATTGCACAGGATTTTCTATCATTATGATAAACTACTTTGCAAGGTTTTGAACATTTCGAGCATACATCGACAACATGCTGTAATCCTAGTTTTACTGCAAATTTGAACCCTTTATCAATTCTGGGATCCAAACCCAATTCAGAATACTCATATTCGAGAAGACAAAAAATTGTGGAAAGTGCATCCTAGCCAAAACTCTTCGGAGTTAATGTCGAAATTATTCATTTGGAATAAATTATTATACAGAATATCCAACAAAATAATTGTTATAATTATAATTTAACATTTTTAAAAGATTATTAATTGAAAATGAAATTAAATAACAACTTTACATCAAACCAACACTTTTAATGCAATTCTACCTTTAATGCTCCCCTCGTCCATTTAGTCGTATTAATTTGCATATCACACTGCGTTACAGCACCCTCTATCACAAACATCACTTGGTAATCTGATATGAGAATACCGTAAGCACCGCCACTTCGATACCTAGGGTAACATTAACCCTTAAATTATTGTTATATATTCCATTCTTACAGAGAAACGCTGCAACTGCCTTCATCTTGTCAAAGTTTTCTCTAAATGTTCAAGCCTACATTGGCTTTAACATTTATAAAAAACTGTAATTCAATGATTGATTCATTTAAATCACGGGTGTCCAAGGCAAGTTCTAATGCGGCCCAATAAATGTGTAAACAAAACTGACAAATTGTTTTATTTTTTTATTTCAACGGCATAAACTCAAAAAAGAAGTTTCACAAAGCCATAAACTTTTATACATATTTTATTTTTGAGTGAAAAGGAAATATTTTCAAATATTTGAAGATGTGTGAATGAGGAAGGAATACAAAATAAAGCTGAAGTTGTGACTCAAAGGATTATAGACCCAAATTTGAGAGAAAGGCCAAAAGATAAAAAGTAATGAGGAAGGTTGGAAAATTAAGGGTCAATATTTGCATAACAGAAGATCTATTTAACCTTTCTCACTACTTTTTATCTTTTGGCCTTTCTCTCCTTTTCTCAAATTTGGGTGTATAATCCTTTGAGTTCCAACTCCAGCATTATTTAGTATTCTTTCCAGCATTGCAAGATTTGGCTACCCTTTTTTTAGTTTGGCGTAAAAATGATCATTTTGCGCATTGGCTACTTTCTGGGCTACATATTACTTATAAATATATTAGTCGAATAAAAATGCACTTTAAAATGATGTTTCGTCGTTTTTTTATTTATATTAATTAGAGACCCAAATTAAACAAATACTTGTGTTTTTTAAATAAATTTTCGTTTGTCTCTTTTATAATAAATGAATTTATCTATTTTTAAGTAAAAATTGGAAGGGTCTGTAGAAGTAATTTTTAAAAATATCCTTTTTCATGATAAAGTTTTAATACTTATTACTATAATCTAGACATGTTAATCCTTAAATATACAAGTATATTTAAGGATTGGGTCACAAATATATTATATATACTTGTGGCCCCAAACTCCATGACTTCTTCCAATGTGGCCCAGAGAAACAAAAAGATTGGACACCCCTGATCTAAATTATAACCAAAAAAGAAAATCTGTCCACTTTATCAATCATCTCCTTAAGTTTGGAATTTTGTTTTAAATTTAATTGAATAAACAATGAGATGTCATCTTTAATATCAAAATCACCATGAAGTAAATTCAAAATTTTCATTAGTAGATCCAAATGAAATAATTTCTCTCTACTTTTGGACATACTTGCCAGGAATAGGTATTTCTTTTAGACAGTAAAACAAAATAATGCCTACTTGAAAATAAAATTATTATTAATTATAAAAATTTCCATAAAGTGTTTCCACAGGATTCAGTGTTTATCTACAAAAAATATATTCTCTTGTTATATGAATGAATTATGAGTTTACAACTTGTACAAAACTATAAAGAAAACTTTCAAAGACTTTAAAATTTTAATTTAGCAATATAAATAAATTTTATATATTACAGGTATGTAGGCATACAGTGATGAGTGAACAAGCAGCTGAAGCACATATGTCATGTGAAGTTATAGCTAGACCTTGTTGTATAGGTATATATGGGCAGTGCCATATTACTACAAAAGAATACTGTGATTTTGTGCAAGGTTTCTTTCATGAAGAAGCAGCTCTTTGTTCACAAGTAAGTTAATATATAAAAAATCTTTCAATGTATTGATTAAATTAAAAATTAGTTTTAAATATATTGTAAATGTTTTAACTATTGTTTTAAATAAAACATTTTTTGTATTTATTATTGAATTTTGGCTATTTAAGATCTCATATTCATATTTATCATTAGCATTGCTTCTTTTGAATTGAGTTTTTTAAGTAATTTATTAAAGATATAAGGACATTTTATAAATAAAATTGCAAATTCCAGAAATTATAGATTATTTTGTGAATCAAGACAATAATGCTTAAAACTATAAGCTTTTAAATATGAAGTTTTTGATCACCTTAAGCTTGTTGAGGAATATTTTTAAACTCCACAAACGTTTTGGACATAATTTTTATAGGTAATCATCAGGTGTTATTGTATTTGAACATTTTTAAATGGGACACTTCATAATATACCAAACACAAAAAAAGTATTTCATTAAAACCTGGAATGGACCAGAATTTGTTAAAATTTCACTTGTGTAAGAAATAACAAATAAATTAAAGTTTTTGGCCTTTTAGTACAAAATTAAACTTTGCTGGGGATAATGGACAAGTAGATATTTTGGTGTTTTGTGTATTAAGTAATCATTTAAATCAGTGATACTGATTTAAATTATTTACATGCAGGTTATCTGAGCTAGTATTCAAAAATACATATATACATCAGCATCTACTGTACAAGGTTTATTATACTTATAAGTTAAAAAGTGGATGGCTGGTTAGTTTGTCTCCATTTGGAAAAATGTCCCAGATTATCCCAGTTTCATGTATAAGTATATAGTCCATAAATTTTAAAAAGAATTATTTTTGGGTGAGTTCATATTAAAAAATTAAATAATGAGTTAAAATTTGCTTAACTTATTTCTTTAATATTAAATTCTCATTCAAAAACAGAACACTGTCAACTGGCACTGCCAAAAAGAAAATGTTCCACATTATTAAGAAATAAAATCATTCAAACAGCAATTTCATGCCCTATATTTACTACCTTCAATTTTTAGAGCATCCCAGATTGAAGTTCAGAAAATCTGGTCACTTAAAATTTTAGAGAGTTACTCTATAAAACTAATGAAGATCAGTAAAAACAAAAAATGCCCACTTTGAACTTAACATGTCAAGCTCTCACCATATGTTTTCAGCATCTGCTGCAATACACTGCTTTAAATCATCCAAATCTCAAACTTTTTTCTGGTTCACACAATCTTTTTAATAAACTTCCATGCATAAAAATTCAATAGAGCCATATCTGAAAATCTAGTTGTCCAGGCAGTTGGCTGCTCAAAAGCCACAGATTCAAGAGTATTGGGATGTGATTAGCTAGCTTACGGTATTGGAGAACTTGAAATTTATTCACAAGCCTACAGTCATGCACTGTTGAATGAGGAATTTGCAGTTTGTGTGTCATTTATGTTAAAAGCTTGTGTAATTGAGTTACAATCTCATTGATCATGCACTTTTTTGGTTGTCTTCTAGTTTGTGAAACCAAAACTTCCCATCTCTTTTAGTTTTATTCCACCAATGAGGGAATTCAAATGAGGATCCAATTCCATTTCCTTTCCCTTGGGCATGCATAACATGCTCCATTTATTGCAGTGAAAATAAGAATCTCCAAAAATGTGATCTTTTAATTTTGGACACCTCTTGCCTTGATACCATTCTTGTAAAACTGAAAATGTTTTTAATACAAAATTATGAACAAACACTAATTTTCATGTCCTTTCATGATATAATTTGTGATTTTTTTTTACTAATTATCAGTTTACTTCATTTATAGGTATCATGTCTTGATGACGTTTGTGGTATGATCCCTTTTTATAATCCAGAGGTGCCTGATCAATTTTACAGACTCTGGACTTCACTTTTCCTACATGCAGGGTATGCATTATACAATTTTTTATTATTTAATTAAATTACATAAAATAATGGAAAGTGTATTCTCTAGAATAATACACCTGCTAGTAACTGTGATAGTTCAATATTTAATTATGAGAGATGTAGAGAAACTTATAGGACCATTACGAATGGCTATCATCTACATCATGTCGGGTGTGGCGGGAAATCTGGCAAGTGCCATCTTTGTGCCATACAGAGCAGAGGTAAGATAAATTTTTTTCTTTTCTGTTTGGACATCCTTCTCTACTAATCAAAAATAATTACAGGTAGGACCAGCAGGCTCTCAGTTTGGTTTACTGGCCTGTTTATTTGTTGAAGTGATACACTGCTGGCAGATGCTAAAGAGGCCAGGGGCGGCCCTCTTGCAGCTGGGTGGTGTGACTATGGTGTTGTTTTTAATTGGACTACTCCCGTGGGTCGATAATTATGCTCACCTTTTCGGCTTTATTTTTGGGTTTCTTATGTCTTACGCTTTATTACCGTTCGTGTCGTTCGGGACTTACGACAGGACGACAAAAATAATTCTCATATGGGTATGTTTGATCGTCGTTACAGCCCTTTTTGTAGGATTAATAGTTTTATTTTATGTACATCCGATATATGAATGTTCATTTTGTAAATATTTTAATTGTATACCTCTGACCAGAGATTTCTGTGAAAATCAAGATATCAATTTTACACGGCAGGAGTATTAAAATTTTGTATATAAAAATATATATATATATTATTACATATAAACACCATACAGTGCAAGGCACTGAGGTGCAGTTCTTCCTTTGGGACAATGTTCTGAGCTAAAAGCTGATGAACCGATTTTACATGAAACCTTCAATGCACAACCAGAAAATGCAAATTGTTTTGTACAATCATTTTTCAAATGCTATGGTGTTTTTGTGATTTTGAATTGTAAATGCGGAAACATCCTCCTGAAGGAGATGAGATTTTTTTACTACTGTGATTGATGTTAAAAGAAATTATTCAAAGACATTTTGTCACTTTATACTTAATTTTGAGGAGTGACAATTGTAATATTTTAATAAAAAGCTAGTTATCATAAATCTGTTTTTATTTCCTCCTTTTACACAATTTTATCATGCAGTGGATTCTTCTTTGATTTTGTTCTTCTTCAACGGGCCCTGCATTAAAAAAAATTATTTTAGTCATAAAATTAGTGTAAAAGAAGAAAACTCTAAATAATTGCTATACTATTTAATCATCAGAAGGAAGGCAGCAAGGGAATCATCAACATTTTCAGTAATGAAATCCCTATACGTTTCATCATAAAGCAATTACAACTAAGTTTCCTAATTTAACTCAGACATTTCTACACTAGCTCTAAAAGCAATAATACAAACAACTTTAACATTCAAGTTTTCATCTTATTTATTGAAATAAATTATTATGCATTTTTAAAATTGATATTAAACTCATAAAACCAAATTCCCACTAACTGTAGTCTATTAAATTACTAGCTTTGCCCACATAGATTTTTCAATTTGATTGGACTTCATAAGATTCTCAATCATCAGTAATTTTACCAAATTAGTAACAACTAATTTTTGTTTGTTTCGAACTATGAACTGCTAATGCACCTAAAATCAAGTTTCAAATATGGGATTCCAACAAACGATAAATATGAGTTCAATTTTTTTTGGAAACACAAATGACATTATCTGAAAATTCCTAAAGAATAAATATTTACAGAAAAATAAGAGTTTTAGTTACCCCAGTACCTCTTTGTAAACCACATTTGTGGTACTGCCTTTTGGGTCTAAGACTTTTTAAGCCTTAATCCTCTCCCTCTCAGTGGAATTTCCAAAAATTCCTTCTTAGTGTGCATTCTTATTGTGTACCCTACTAAAACGTAGTTAAAAACAAAAAAAATCACATTTAAAATAGTACAGTAGAAGCCGTTCTTCAGGTTAAGCCTTAATCCTTTCCATATCCCCCGCGAAAGAATTTTGAAAAATCCCTTCTTAGTGTGCATATTCATGACAACTGAGGAAAAAACAAAGAGAACCAAGTTGAATTAATTAAGTTGGAAAAAAGAAAGTGCGCATTATAATCGAGAAAATGCAAATACTATTAATTTTTAAAATATTAGTATTAAATCTTATAAAATTGCCACTCCCGTTAATCAAGTTATCCAATAAGAATAAAATACAATACAATATCAATATAGCTGTAACGTTGGAAAAATTCACTTATTTTTGGCTCACCTAGAGTTTGCTAAGTAGAAATGGCTAAAGAGTGTGCAAAATACATACAAAAATATGGTATTACAGCATCACATGTATTGGATGACAACCTGTCTAAAAGACCAGTTTTTGAAAGGAACCATGTGTGTTCCCCATAGACAGGTTTACTGTATATAGATTAAAGTTCCTAATTGACTTACATGTAAGCAGAGTTGTTATCTAACATATGTAATTAAAATTGACAGAAAGTAACATTTTCATTACTTGGAAGATAGAATTTGTTTAAAACTGTTAATTTCAATCGAATACTAAAGTCATGCCTAGCTGATTTTTAATGCAAAAAAATAAATAAAAATACTACCTTATCTTAAAATATTACAAATAGTTTAAATTAGATTTACAATAGACAAAATTCTCACCATGAAAGTGTGTTTCTCGGCAGCAGTCTGGAATCTTCCGTGACCAAACTTTGATGAAGTGTCGATAAACTTCAGATTGATTTTTTCCAGGGCCGATCTCTTGGTCTGAGTGAGAAGAGACTGTAACAAAATGTAAAGGCTATTGAAATGCCAAATATCATTTACATATAAAATACTATATTAAATTTAAGTAAATGCTTCAGTCCTATCATTCATTTTTCATTATTAATATCATACTTATTTTAGGCTCTCTTTAAATATCATCATAAGCATTTAGAGATAATTTTTATCAAATATGTAGCAAATATAGTATGTATAGATAAATTACAAATATTTCAGATCAAAACACTAATCTTAAGCATTTCAAAAAAATCGACTCATGAAGTATTAATAAATACTGGATTTAATCTCACTTTTTAGGTTCATCTTCAGACTCATATTATAATTAAACAGTCTTAAACATTAATAAGTTTAAGAAGTCTTCAGAACACTCAAGATATGTTCCAAAAAGAATAAAACAGATCTGATAGAGACAGTTTGTCTTGAAAAGTGTTTTATCTGAAGTAAAAAGAAGAAATGGTAAGACTGCCTAAAACTTATCAGCAGTTAAGATTGTTTAATAAAATTCTTTGTTTTAGATTTATATGACAGAAATTCAATTCAAACACATTCAAATCTAATGTAAAAACACTCGTCTACAATTTGCTGGCATTTTTGTTAGTAAACTATTAATGCTATTGAGATAAAATTTCAATAGCTTTGAAAAGAAGTCTTCTATGCACTCTCTGACAACACTAATATCACTTGATATCTAAAATATTCAACAAAAAAGACCAAAACAAGCAATTATCTGTTAGAACAAAAATCAGCGAATAATGCAAAGATGATCTCACCAATTCAAATATTTTTAATTGTAATTTTTGCCTTATGTGATTTGGCATTATCTTACAAGAAAGTAATAGCATTTTATTAGTAAGTCCTGGATATTTCTCATGGAAGTTTTTGCCTGGAAAACACTTGGAGGGAAATTCTAACAAGTGAATTGGCTGGAATTATCTAAGTGTTTTTATCTATTTTAGATGGAGTTATCTAAGTGTAAGGGAAATTCACTTGTTAGAATTTCCCTCCATTTCTCAAAACATTCTCATTTTTCAACCCAACTGGAGTTGATCGTTGACAAATCTCCCAAATACAAGTTTTGCAAAATCATTTCTTATTGTTCTATTGCTTAGCATTTTCCCTCTGTTGAAACCTCTAGATATTATTAATATACTGCAAACATTTCTTCAAATTATTCATTTCAAACTTGTTAAAATTTATAAACACAAACACAATACATATATATGTATTATGTACATGAACAATAGTGGTCATATCAGATAATCTTGCATGTTCAAAGTGGAAAGAATACAATAAAAACTTAGATATGAAACTGGAGAACTTTTGACTCAATCTTAACAGCAAGAAAAATATAACGTAAAACTGTATTCAATTAAAAGTTTTATGAATCATTAAGAATTATATTTTGGAAGAATTTCCAAAATAAACTTTGTTAAAGATACATTTAATTTTATACTCTCTCTGTTACAATATAATACAAACATGTAGACATTCCCTATATTGCAAATGTCTTGTATTATTAATAATTAGTCAATATTCTATTATTAATTCTTCCCTCTAAGACAAAATACACCTGGCAATTCATTTTTACACCATTTAATTCTAGGAATGTGAAGAGGTGAAAGAATAGAACAACGAATGTGATCTTCATATTATGAGTATGTTCTCTAAGGATATATTGCATTATTTATTATCTGTATCAGAAAGGAAACATATAAATGAAATTCTATAGGGAATTTAGGCATATCAAAGTATTTTACTATTGAAAAGGAACAAAAATTATTTTATAACCAATATAAAACAACAAATATGTGGTCCATTATATAAACAATGGCATGCAAAAATTTAAATCAAATATGTATCAAAATATTTAGTTTCATAAAGCTGTTGAACAATAAAAACTGCTTTCATATTTTAAAGGCCAGATTCTCAAGTAATCTAATTCAGTAAATGTTTTATTAAGTGTTAAATTCAGTAAAAACATTTCATTATAACAAGTATATTAAATTTATATTTTATTAATAATTTTTTCATCTAATTATAAAAGTAAAATAATTTCTTACTTTTCTTAATGTTATCACTCTCTTCTTCGGACCCATGATGCATCCCTTCAGCATAACAAAATCACAATTTACTTCTCCATAATGAGGAAATCCTCCCTGAAATATTTCATTTTTAATTTAAATAATAATCCTCAACTTAATCATTAAAATATTTAAAATGTTGATTTATTGTAAATATAAACATATATTACGATATATGCAAAAGCATGTGCATCATATATAATAAAACAGTGATTAAAAATTACACCAGTAAAAGTTATTTCAAATTACAGTAGAGCGTTGTTTATCCGAATCAACTGGGGACGGGGGGTTGTTTGGATAACTGATTATGTATGAAAAAATATATTAACCTATCCCATGTTGAAATTTTTCTCCATTGCATGTTGCTTTGCATTGAATTTTCATTGATGTTAAGCCTAACAAAAATTTTTATAATAATCATCGTGGATATTGTAGTGTTAAAACTTATTTCTTTATTTCGTACAAACAAAATAACGTTTTTGATACTAGATTAACTTCTAAAGTATTTTTTGTTGTTGTTGTTTTTATAGTTTTAAATATATTTATTTTATTTTGTGCAAACAAAATAAATATATTAAAAAATATAAAAACAACAACAACAACAACAACAACAACAACAACAAAAATACTTTAGAAGTTAATCTAGTATCAAAAACGTTCGATTCAGCACGATACACAGTCTTCAGAAAAACACTACACAAAAATGCCATGCTGCCAGCTAAAACACACACACCAACAAAAAAAAAAATATTGGAGTAGCCTAAAACATAGCCAAAGGTTGTAGCGCCACAGCACTAGCGGAAATTTAAATTTGCCGACTGGAACGCTTTCGNATACAAAACAAAATCTTTCCTCATTCATCAATCTTTTTAGCAATTACAAGACAATTGTTTTAGCTTAGCTTAAAAAGAAAAAAAAATTCCTAAAATTTTTGTTAAATTGGTTTAATACTTTAATGAATGTCAAACCCTTTGCTTAGTTTCCTTAAAATACAATTTAACTCAAGATATAACTTTAAACGTCATGATAAAAATTATTTTGAATGTGTGTTATTCTTCTGCTTTAAAAATGCATTTATTTATAATAATATAAAAGATATTTATTAATTTCTTAATTTTTTCTTATTTTTGAATCTTAATTTTGTTCCACAATATTTTCACTTAAATTAAAACTATATATAATTATGCATGATAAAAATTAGACATAAGTTACATGAAAATTGTGTTGAATTTTTGTTCAACTTCTAATTATCACTAAAAGTTTATTTTTTCACTTAAATTTTAATTGTGTTCACTTTCTATTAAAGCATGATAGTTTCTAAAACAAGTAAACAGAATATGATGCTAATAATATAAAAATTATGATCTAAAACAGGAGTGAAAAACTAAGTGTGCATGCCAGAATTACTACATCTGATGGAAAATTTTCTGATGTGCCGAACAAATTTTTGGGAGCACATTATTATATGGTCTAATGGATAGATGCTATGAAAAGCCAGATTTCGTAAAACTGGCCACTACATTGGTTACTCTGTACAACTCAGCAAATGTGTTGAATATTTCTTTTAAAGGCAAGATCTGGGTTGGTGCACTAGAAAAAATTTTTGGCATTCATACCATAGTTGCTCATCAATGATTGATGTTAAGAAAATACTGAAAATTTGATTTTTGCTAATCATAATTGTGATTTTATATTTATCTAAAATAAATTACCATTGGAGTAATTGACTTTTCAGTCATGTCATAGTCTGTAGAAGCATTGTTTTTCACTATTTTTCCATCTTTTGTATGAATTCCTTGACCAATTCGATAGATTTTTTTGTTGATTTCGGTTCTGTGATGATAACCTTTTTGACCTGCCCTAGCGACGGTAAACTGAACTCGACTTGGATGCCAGGCTCCGATGCAAGCAACTTTCCTGAGACCTTTGTGAGTCTTTCTTGGCAGTTTTTTTGTATGCCAACGGCTTGTTACTCCTAGAATATATTTAAATTTTTTTACAAATTTTTTTCATGTTGTATAAATGAAATATAGAAAATAATTGCAAATTAATATAAATTAACTATTCAGAAAAATTCTTAAGCCAGTCATTATGTACTAGAAATTAAAATTTTTAATTTAATTTTAAATGTAGCAAGTTTTTTACTGTTTAATATTAAAATATTGTAATATGGCATAAATATTGAGTCCAAAAATACAAAGTAAAAATTTTAAATATTTTAATAAAGATGAAGAAAAATAAATAAATAAAATTTTACTTTGTATTTTTGGACTCAAAATACTATAATTGTTTCAAATATATCTATTGTTTAAAATATAGTAGAGCATCGATTATCCAAATATCAATCAAATGAAACATCGGTTAATTAACCAAAAGCATTCCTGTTGGAAAATTCAAATTTCCACTAGAACTGTGGCATTGCAGCACTCTCCCCTTCCCTGCCAACCTAAACTGTAGGCCTAGTTTAATGTACTACATTATGTAAGGCAGGAATGGGCAAACTGCATTAATATTTTTTGCAGCCCGCATCACATAAAATAAGTATAAATATATCAATTTCCTAGCTTAAGAAGTATGCAGCAAAAATTCAAACATTATTTTCTACAATTTATGTATGTGACTAGCTTTTCTTGCAATGAATTTAGTAAAAATTAAAACAAGAAACCAGCTAACACTCACATCGAAATTAATTTAAAACTAGCAGTGACTAATATTTAATCAAATATTTTCGATACATTACGTTTACATCAGTTCTAGAAGCAAAATTAAGTATACCCATTCTAATTTATAATTATATATGAATAAATAATTGATTTACCAGCATTTTCCCCCTCTTTTATCTTGTATGCGGTCTGCGTCAGTTCAAAAGTTTTGAAATGTGGCCCTTACACAGAAAAAGGTTGCCAATCCCTGATATAAGGTATGTATTTGTAAGATGTGTGATACAAATTACATACAGTACAGTTTTGTGTTTAATATATTTTTTTGTAAATGATCAGTTATCTGAACAAGCCCAGTCTAGAACTGTTTTGGATAATCAAATGCACTACTGCAGATGTCATTTAAATAGCAACCTCTTAATTCCAACAGATGCAGTTTAGTCCTTTAACCAAATTTTTCTCTCACATGATGATAATTTTAGATTAAAAAGAACTTAAAACATCCTTCATGTAATTTTTTTATTTTAATATATTTTTCTATACTGAGATTTAAAAAATTATTTCATTTAGATGTTAAACTTAATTTATTACTAACAATTTTTAAACTATTACACAAAGTTATAATAATGTTATGCCATTTCTGAGCAGTATTTTATCATTAAAGTTATTTTCAGTAATATAATCTTAATGACAATCAGCTTATAAAAGATAGATTCAATTCACTTAACTGATAAATTTGCCAAAATCAATTTATCTTATAAAAATAGAATTCAACTGTAGAAATTTGAAAATATTGGCCTTAATTCCATTTGTGGAAAAATCACAAAGGAAAAAAAGACTGTTTATATACTAATTCCATTTCCCAAAAATACAAAATATCCCATTAATAGAAACTTGGCATCAGTGGCAATGACAAAATTCCAAGATTAATTTTAGTGTCATTGCTTTGCAGACCATAATATCAAATACTTAATTTTTTCTGTACTTTTCAAAAGTTCAGTGGACATTTAAAAATTTTCTAATGTAGCCAATATGCTTACATTTTATTGTAAGCAACTGATATTTCACATGGTTTTGTTGTGTCTGCCAGCATTAATCTATCAATGCCACAATTTTTTTCATTTTCTATTGACTACTGATTTTCCATTTCTGCAATATAAGCTTAAAAATACTTTTTCTATATATTGCTTCTGCAGTATTTTTCCCACAAATGGAACTAGGTTCAAATGTTCAGTTTAGAAACATGAAAAATAGGAACCATAATTTTATTCAACACAGATTAACTTCATTTAAAATTAAAAACTTATACTTACAATAATAACTTTTTGTCTTCATATGTATAAAGTAATAATTCTCTTCAGCAAAACATCATACATACCTTTAAATCCTTTTCCTTTGGTAACTCCAATACAATCAATCATTTCATCTTGACCAAATACTTCTTGAACTGGAACAGGTTTCTCCATATGATCTCTTGCCCACTTTATTTTTTGACCTAATGTCCCTCCATTCAACTGAATTTCCATTATGTGTGCTTTCTTTTGTCTTTTTCTCATCAGCTTCATCTATAAAATTTAAAAAAAAAAAACATGAATATTCAAAATTAATTAATTATTTAAACTAAATTTTGAAAACACTTTTTAAAATATCATCATGCTTAAGTTCGCCCTAGTTATAATTTCATTTTAAATCAAACTATAGAATCATCATTAGCATGATTTTAGATACAAAACAAAATCTTTCCTCATTCATTAATCTTTTTAGCAATTACAAGACAATTATTTAGCTTAAAGAAAAAAAATTCCTTAAAATTTTTGTTAAATTAATACTTTAATGAATTATTATTAAAAATATATTACCTGAGTATGTGCAATTACTCTAATAACTTTACAATATTTCTTCATTTTTTTAAAATCCTTTTCTATTTCTTTTTTTCCTAAATCATCTTGCCACTTTTTACAATATTTAGTAAAAGCCTTCTTTTTGGATTTATACCTAAAATTAATTTTTAGAAATAAAACTTATTAAAATTCATATTCATTTTCTAACATTATTATTTTAATAAAGCAGCAAAACTCAAATTACATATAAAAGTAAGAATTATTATTGTAATAAACTAATTTAAATTTAATTCACTCTCTCAAACTTTAGTATTTTTGTGTCAAACTGATTTTAAATAAAATTAAATGCGCACACAATTTTCAGATCTCAAAAATATATCTTTGAAACTTGTATTTATCACACACACCAGACTGACTTTACTGAAGACAAGTTAACAAGGGTTTAGTTGTCATCTCCAGATCTAACTCATGACTTACATTTTCCCACATTTGAAAACATAGTCTATCATTTCATTAGTAATGAATAAATGAAAATTATCATTGCTGGGTGACTGCAGCAATAGGTATAGTAGATTTTAGGATGATATGAACAAACTCATTATGTTACTATAAATGCATGAAAGGTACTAGGTGATTTTGTTGAGCTTGCAGACAAATCTTGTAAGTTTTCATTTCTGCTATAAAAGTACGACTGTGCATTATACTTGTGTGTTTAATTAAGCATTATTTTTTTTTATCATACATGTACTTGAATATTCCCTTACAAAAAAAATCTGAGTTTTGATTATCAATTTAACTTTGTCTCTAGGCTTGTGACATTTGTACTTATGATAAATAACAATTTTATAACTTAATAAATTTTTAAAATAATGTAGAATTTTATATTAATTCTCAAAAATTCATATCTATAAAGATTATATACCATTTTTGAAATTGTGATTATCACTCATGTAGTTACTTAATTCAATTATTTATAATGAAATTATAAATACAGTGGAACCTGGTTAACTCATTTCCTTTCTCCAATCATCCAGCATAGGATGTTACATGTTAAATCAAACTGGTTAACTTGAATTCGTTGAACTGTTTACCTCAAATGTGGTTTAGAGATAATATTTTCATAAACTCTACAGAATTTTAATTTTCCATTAAATAAAATAATTAACATTCATCTACTGAATAAACTAATCAAATTTTCTACAAAGCATGGGAACCACACACAACTAAAAATTAACATTGTATTGGGTGATGGATTGGAGTGGTGGCTTTCATATAGCAATATGATCTAGATACTTTAACTGCCATTCACATGTATTATTTTCAAACATTTTTTTTTCGTTTGTTTTATTTGATTGCTGATGGATTTTTCCAACTAGCTGATGTAATAAATTAATTTTAATAACAATTATAGTTCAATTCTACTTAAAAATATTCACCTTGGCAGCAAAATTTTAAAAATATAACAATCATATAGTGATATGTTTGCTATTAAAAAACATATCAATTCTAGGTGCTGAATATCCTTACTAAACATTTAGGAGTGAATGGATCAACCATTTGGGACAGAACATCTCATTTCACTATTAAGTTAAGGGCAAGTTTCTAGACAACACCCAGAGGTTTACATTGACACAATGATTCTATGTAATAAGACAAATATTGTATAGATGATATATTATGAGTCACCAATAAACCAATTCACAAAATATTGATTTTAGCAAACCTATATAACTCAAAACTTTTTAATCTTTTCTAGATTGCAGATTACTTGTATACAAGTACTCATAAGCAGACCCACCCTTAACTTGCAGGAATCCATGCTAAAGGTTAAAAAGTCCAAATTTTTCTCCAACCAATTAGAGTTAAACAAGTTCCACTTTATATAAATTTACAATGAATAGCATATGCTAATTTAAAAGATTATTCAGTTTGAAATATTTGGCTTTTTAAAGCTTGAAGATTATTTTTATTTTACTTCTTTTACTTTTAATTGAAACATTTTATTTTATGCAATTATGAAATCATTCTTTAAAAAATTTTGCATTAGTAGCAAACAAAGCATTGCCAAATTGGTTTACTACCCTGTTGACAAATTATCCTTTTTTTTTTTCATTGGAATTAAATTATCTTTTAATAACTTGAAGTATTTTTGATCTTTTGATAACTTGAAGATATCTCGGGTTATGGGCTTAAGGGATTTATTCACTCTTTTTAAATTTAATATCTTAAATTCAAATATTTAATATTAAAATTCTATTCAATATCTCCATATCCCAGAATAATTCTGCTTGGAGAACAAGTTTGAAGAGTTATATAACTAGAAGCAGAATTTATTCTTACATCAATTCTAATTTAAATGAATTAATTTCCATTTATAAATAAGTAAATTTTATACAAACTGATACAGTGGTACCTCAGGATACGAACGCCCCAGCATACGAAATTTTCAGGATACGACATGAAATTCGAACATATTTTTGCTCCACGATACGAACAAAAACTCACCATACGACGTTACATTAGTTCGCATTTTTCATTTGTTTTCCTTACTACAGTTATCTTTTTAAATGTATTACTTGGCTTTAATTTAAGCATGATTTTCACGTTGGAACGAATTATTTGGTTTTACATGTAATCGTATGGGAAAAGATGATTCACCTTAAGACATTTTCATGATACGATCTCAGTTTCGGAACGGATTAATTTCGTATCCTGAGGTAACACTGTAATTGGTATACTATATTTATCCTTACTTCATTCCACCTGTAAACAAATTCATGTGATTGACGCCCTCTCTCATTGATTACAAGACTACAAATAGTTTCTGGAGTATTTAATTGCAAAATAAATAGAGAGGTTGCGGCTGTTGTATTCAGCCCAAAACGTGAACAGCGAATGGTCGAGTGTCGCCATCTGGCAATTCTAGACGGTTGATAATGGCATTCACAACGTCTTGCTTGGGAGTAGTAGAAGATCGGTTTAAACTTCATTTTTTTGTGTTTGGAGTTAAAAGTATGACCTATTTTATTAAAGTAATGATTATTTAATCATTTACAAATAATAATGTAAAGAAACAGATGATTTTAATCCAGAAATTATTTAATTATTCAATTATTTAGCAAGTGATGCAAAGTTCCTATAGAATTTACATATATTTGCCTTCATAATAGCTTATTTTAAGATAGGTTTGTTCTTCCATGGCATCATCTACCATCAACAGCATAATGTGTTTGTAAACTTTATAAAAATTAATTTTCCAAGCTGCTTTCGAATTTACATAAGCCACTACTTCCCTTGACAAAAGTATGAGGTAATCCTATTAAACACCATGCTAATTAAAAATAATTATTTAGTGTTATTAAACATCCTATAAATACTTTAAAATAGTTTGTTCATTTACCTTCACTGATAATCCTCGATGTTAAATGTATCCTCCATTTTTTCAATAAATTTCCTGTGAGTCAATGCATGACATTCACTGAGTCACGTGATATAAATGTGCACTGCAACAAATTTTTCTTGGGAGTTAAAACAAACTGTGTACTTCTGCTTGCTGTGTACAAGTAACATTTGAACTTGCACCGCAACCTGTCTAATAAGTTCTCTACATGAGACTGTAATGTTCTCAAATTCAAAGCACTATTTAAATTTGACATTTTGCTTACGATGAAATATTATCCTAGAAACTTTCCACTGCACTAAGCAGAAGAATGAGCCAATCAAAGCAACATATCTGTATCATTGGTAATCAAGCTGGCAAGCAGCTATCCCCATCACATCACTGGAGAAGAAAAAATATGGGAAATGATTTTGTCATAACTATGTTTATCAGTGCTTAACAAAAATCTATAGAACTTAATATCATTGTCATGTCAAACAACTAGAATTCTCCATTCTGTTTGCATGCTGATTATGAGTGATTGAGGCCAAAGGGATGGAAAACACAATGATTTTCTTTACATGTCACATGAAGTAAGGTTGAATAGATTACAGTTACAGAACTGTTTAAATAATAGAATACTAATCAAACATAAATTTAAAATTTTTTAATTACCAGTTTTTATAGAAGCGACGTTTACAATCTTCACTCAAATGTTCAGCCCAAATAGTTTTAAACGCTCTAAGTCCTTTGGGAGTTTCAATATAACCAACAACACCAACTATCATCATTGGAGGTGTTTCCAAAATTGTTACTGCTTCTACAACTTCTTTTTTATTGACCTCTATAAAAATAATTTTTTATGTATTAGAATTATATCTTGAAAAGAAATTTATTAATTTCATTTTTAATTGCATTATCATAAAATAAAAGCAACAAATTGAATTAGATGATATATATATTATACATAGAATATCACATCCTAGTAAAATTAAAACTTATTCTAAAAGGTACTGATTAGAAAATAAGATATACAGTGGGTGATCAGTTAACAAACATAATCTGTTCCAAGACTGTTTGTTATTTGAATTGTTTTTTAATCAATTATTGATTTAACATAGATTTTATGAGAATTTGATAAATTCATTCTGGAAATAAAAAAAAATATAATATACTTTCTTACTATGTTTATTTACATGTAATAAGAAACTAAAAGCAATCTCCATTTTTTCATAGATGGCACATCTTTGTTCCTCAGATGTGATTTTCATTACTCCTTTAGCTGCTCGAGTCTTAATGCTAAGATTGTGCCTACTGTAGACCTGTTCAAACCATACTGCTTAGCACCATCAGACATCATCTGCCCACTCTAAGAGCTGCCACAAACTACAGGATGCGGGAGCTAGCATATGCTCGGTCGCACTCCCAAGCCCCACCTTTTTCCCCCCATGAGGCTATGAGCCATTTTTGCTAGGTAAGCTACATGGGCAAGAAACAGCTGCAAACTACACATTTGCTTGCATAATGTAATCCACATGACATTGATTGGCTATAGAACAAGATTTCATTATAACTTATACTTGTAATCAGTCAGTTTTCATTCCAAACTTTGAAACAGCATGGGAAAAACATGTTTACTAGTTAAGCCTAACTAATAGTAATATATAGTTTTCAGTTAGTTAAGCCGAGTTAGACTTAATCATGTAATTTATGTACATCGATAAAATTCTATTATTTCTTTTTCGACGTGCGACATATTCATGTAGTCATCCATCTTCTACACTCTCTCTTGCTAGTGTGACTGTTCTAGCTGTTGAATTCTGTCAACAGTGAGCATACTCTTGTATCGCTGCGCAAGCAAAGGAAAAACCATGTAGGCAATAAGAAAGGGGCGGAGCCTTTGATGTCATCGGTTGTGCTAGCACACGTTTGCTAGCATTTTGCTCTCGCAAAGCACTAGTTTGCGGCAGCTCTAAGATGAGCATGGTTCTTGACACTCCACTCTTTTTAGGCTTCATAATATTATCCATGTCTTTTTGAAATAAAAATTTCAGAAAAGCACTCACAAAAATTTAGTGAACAGAAATCAACTAGCGCACAAAAGAATTATGTAAATGTGAGACCCATATAACATTCAAAATTTTGATGTTAAACCATTAACAAATATCTGATAGGACAGTTAAACTCTCATCTTTAGAAAATAAAAACTGTTGCAAAACTTAGAGTGCCCAACAGTCTTGCAGACTATAAAAAATTATTTGTCAGAAAGGTGAACAAAAGGCTGGAATTACAATGGAAAATTTCAAAGTTCGAAGGAATAATATCTGATTGGTATTGGGTTGAGCATCTCTCGCACTCCGAAAGCTTTCGAATTGTTTCCTGTACACAAGGGAAAACCAATCAGTATGCATTATTTTATGTTCCTTCTTTTTGTGTTTGTTCTCTGAAGTGTTCATTGTCTGAACATAAAAAAATCTTCCGCAAAAGTGTTCATTATCCAATTTGTTCGCTGTCCAAACTGTTCATTAACTGATCACCCACTGTACTTTGTTTTGCCAAAAATAGTGAAGTGTTAATTTTGTCAAACATTATGAATGTTGCACAATCGTACACTTTTCTTTTTAATTTCAAAAGTAATTAATTCTTAGATTATAAATTATATCACCAATCATTATTATTAACATCTATTCACTATTTATTTATTTATGAAATAGGTCAATAAAAATAAAACAATGAGTAATATAACAATGAAAATCAATTCTTAATTTAGAACAGATATATTCCACAAGTGATTGGCTATGCAATGTATGTGCAAAATTATTAAGGCACTATATGCCACAAATCATCATCAGATAAATTTACACATTCATTTCCAGCAAGATAAGTGGAAGACACAAATAAAAGCTGAGCTTTCACATTTGATCATTCTGTGAGATAGTTACCAAATTAAACATTCCATGATGAACATAAGTGATATGGTCAAGCAGAAACATAATGGAATAACCATCTTGCCAGTGATAAGTTAAGCCCAAAAAATTGACAGATTGGGACCACCAGTCTCAAATGTGTTGTCAGACCCAACAGGTATTCTTTAGTAATCATCACTAACAACTTCTGTATCACACTAACAAGGCGACCTTACAGCTTTGGGGAAACGGATTTTGACGATCTTTGGTGTAGAGGTAGTAAACCATGTGAGTGTACTACCTGTAAAATACTAAAGTGCAATACTCAAATATAATCGAGAAAAACAAACTTAAAGTTTTCTTAGCACTTTATATATAAGTTATGCGTACTTTCTCTTGGGCATCCTGTGGCTAAGTGTTAACGATCCTGACTCATACGCTTGAGTGCTCGGGTTCGATTCTCTTGTGTACACTTCCCCCCTATTTTTATAATGTACATTATTGTAATATAAATAAATACATTATCATAATTACTTATAATGTATTTATTTACTCATTCATTTATTTTAATTTAATTTCTATTATTCCAAGTCTAATATTTTTACTTTTGTTGACAATAACTGTGCATTCTTGACACCTATGTGTCAACTTTCCCATCTAATTGTGACCTCTGATCTAATTTCTCACTAGGAGCATTTTTTCTGTGGAGTTCTTTTTCACTCACTCTTTAACATAAGTTATGCGTACTTTCTCTCATATATATAAGTTATGCGTACTTTCTCTTGAGCATCCTGTGGCTGAGTGTTAATGATCCTGACTCGTACATTTGAGTGCTCGGGTTTGATTTACTTGTGTACACTTTTTCCCTTTTTTTATTCGTAAATACTTATAATGTATTTATTCACTCACTCACTCATTTGTTTTAATTTAATTTCTACTACTCTAAGTCTAATATTTTTACTTTTGTTGACAATAACGGTGCATTCCTGACACCTATGTGTCAACTTTCCCATCTAATTGTGACTTCCAATCTAATTTCTTATTAGGAGCATTTTTTCTATCAGAGTTCTTTTTCACTCACTCTTTAACAGTTTGTTTCTTAATTTTGACATGAATTGATGTATTTGTGCAGTGAAATTTTTTTAAATTATAAAATAATTTTTCAAAATATGTGAAGAGAAGCAAGTTCTTCACATTGTGACGAAAAAACTGTTGATGATAACTCTATACAGTGATGCATTGAAGCAGTGGCTAAAAGATGGAGTAATGTATTATGAGAGTTTACTTTTCGAAAATAATTTAATTGAAACATCTTCTGATACACTATCTAAAAATGCTATGCTGATAGGTACAGAATTATACAATCATACATTGGATGTGTTGAATGAAAAAATTTATAAATGTTTCAATTAAATTATTTTCGAAAAGTAAACTCTCATAATACATTACTCCATCTTTTAGCCACTGCTTCGATGCATCACTGTATAGAGTTATCATCCATCAACAGTTTTTTCGTCACAATGTGAAGAACTTGCGTCTCTTCACATATTTTGAAAAATTATTTTATAAAAAAATTTCACTGCACAAATACGTCTATTCGTGTTGAAATTCAGAAATAAACTGTTAAAGAGTGAGTGAAAAAGAACTCCACAGAAAAAATGCTCCTAGTGAGAAATTAGATCAGAGGTCACAATTAGATGGGAAAGTTGACACATAGGTGTCAAGAATGCACAGTTATTGTCAACAAAAGTAAAAATATTAGACTTGGAATAATAGAAATTAAATTAAAATAAATGAATGAGTAAATAAATACATTATAAGTAATTACGATAATGTATTTATTTATATTACAATAATGTACATTATAAAAATAGGGGGGAAGTGTACACAAGAGAATCGAACCCGAGCACTCAAGCGTATGAGTCAGGATCGTTAACACTCAGCCACAGGATGCCCAAGAGAAAGTACGCATAACTTATATATAAAGTGCTAAGAAAACTTTAAGTTTGTTTTTCTCGATTATATTTGAGTATTGCACTTTAGTATTTTACAGGTAGTACACTCACATGGTTTACTACCTCTACACCAAAGATCATCAAAATCCGTTTCCCCAAAGCTGTAGGGTCTCCTTGTAAGATCAGCTTACCAGTGACAGAAGTGGCTTTCAAGCACTCATCAGCTGTTTCAGATATTATGAAAGAAGTGGCAAAATATTCCATTAGAAGTACAGTATATCAAAACTTAGTAGAAAACCTACCCCAAAGGGTCAACAGCCAACACCAATAGCATAAAAAGGATCTCTTATTGACAACAAACATGTAACTGTATCTGTAATAGGTATCCAGACATTTTTGATAGCAGTGTATACATAATTATTTCTCATTTGGAGCAAAATTGGTAAGATTACAAAATTCCTAAGGTAATCATGTTTTTTACTCAGAAAAAATAGAAAAGGTAATGATATCTTCATATGTAAAATTGTGTAAGTCAATGAAATTCGGGTTTGAATCACTAACTAAAATTATATATCTTTATGGTGACCATAAATCATTTACTTCATTGTTCTGTCCTTTCAATTTATTTCTCTAAAACAATATAATCGTTTTGTCCTTTATTTTGTGAACGTAAATAGTAAATTCAATATCAGCACTCACATGTGGCATCAATATTTAATTTACCGAATTTTGCACAATTAATAAATTTTACCAAACCTGTATTATTTAAATAACAGGAACAGCTTTTTCATGGAAACAAAAGTATTTGAAGATCCTACTATGGGAAACCCCACTGGGGGGTGAGGAAGAGTAAGGAAAACATTTTGTTGGAACTAAAATATAAATGATGGCAAACTATTTGACAAACTTTCATGAATTAAAAGTTACATCAATCACTAAGAATACTAACAATACAATGTAATTGGGTCAAAATTTTTAAATATTTCACAATGAGCATGTATCTTTTAAAAACATTTAAAAAATTGTTGAATTTTTCTTGTCTCCCTTAATTTAATGCCCCCGCTAAACAAGCATTTTCAATAGTGAACAATCTGTGAACCAATGAAAAAACTCAATTAAAAATCAAAATAACAAAGGATACATTTATACCAAACACAACTTTGACACAAATTATAGTTTTACTAATTTTTAAAACAAACCTGATTTATTAAAAAGTTCATTCTTGTGAAAAACATCAAAATGAAATTTTTTTAAAGTAATCATGATTATAAATAATGCTATGTATACAGGTAGTTCCCAGCTTTGAGTTAACCAGTTGCTAGAAGTTACTTGTTAAGTAAGAACTAATTTTTCATACAAATAAATACATAATGCATAATTACATTCCTGCATATGGAATTTTAGATAGAAAAATGTTGAAAAACCATAAAAATATTTCACAACAAGATTATTATTATTATTATTATATATGTATAATATTGGGTCATTGCAAATAAAATGGTTATTTTTTAAAATGTAAACTTTCTGGCCTGTAGTTCAGCTTTTTCCCCATGTGAATAGTGCTGTATGTATGCAATTGGAAGAACACACATAATTTGAAATTAAAAATGTAATCTCATTTATATTGTGAGTTCCACATGTGTAAGAGCACTTTTTCTGATGGCATGGAAAAAAAGAAAATTGAATAATTTTCTTTTAGTAGAAAACCTACCCCAAAGGGTCAACAGTCAACACCAATAGATAGATAGATAGTTGATAGATCCTGGCCGCACTGAAAGGCATAGCCAGCGAAGGAGAGGAAGGAAGGAGGTAAGGAGGGGATGAAGAAAGGGGGAGACGACGAGGAAGAGAAAGAGGAAGGATGTAGATTACATGCACACCATTGCTGGGCGACAATTGCTGAGCGTAAAGGCAATAGATATAAAGGGGCCCGTGCATAGGAAAGCACATAATTGGTGAAGGAGTTTACAAGAGATTGCACAACAAAATATATACAGAAGATAACGAACCACACAGCATGGTTTTACACAGCTGAACGGCAAAAGGAAGGGAGGCCTGTAGGACCCCTTACCAACGACAAAATATCACAGCTAAGATAGTCCATATTGGTAGAGTCCACTTAATGGTGAGTCGATCTGCTGGAGATGAGTCAACACCAATAGCATAAAATTGAATAATTTTCTTTTATGAGTATAAGCAGGGGCATAATGCAGCCAAAGCAACCCAAATACCAATAAAACATTTTGGTAAACTTTTCTGTGATTGAGCAGACACTAAGCATTGGTTTAAAAAATTTCATTCCAGGAATACAAATCTCAAAAATCAGAATTGAAGATCATCATCAAATCAGAACATCACTCGACGTCCAGGTAATCATGTAAAGATTGAACATACTGGACATTATTCAACCATTTCTCAACATCTACAGATGTTAGGGAAAGTCACGAAGCTTGACAAATGGGTACCACATGAACTCAGTGAGAGAGATAAGGATCATTTGAACTTCGGCAAAAGTCGGATCTGAAGGACATAACAATTAAGTTTTTATTCATCCAAAATCCCATTTTAGGTGGTTAGAAAAGTAACAGATTACATCCCATTAATGTTGCTAATTATCTTATCAAGTATCATGTCAGTTATAAAACATTAATGCATTTCAGGTCATTACTGTTAATCCCCTGGTCAGAAGTTCTGTTAACAAACATGACAATTTTAATAATTACCAAAAACGTTTTTACAGAAATTTTAAAAATGTAATAATAAAATATTTTAAATTATTCATCTCAACAATTACGAAGGGAGAGAGTAATACAATGCCAAAATAATTCCTTAAAAATCTATTCTAAAAACAAATTTCGAATTTGGTATAAATTTTGTAATCTGGATTTGTTTATATTTTAAATCATACTGGCAACAAAATTAAATATTGAAATGGAAAAGAATTGTCATTAACTGCCAACGAACAGTTGTTAACAGCCTTAACATTTTATGTTCTGGAATGTAGCTTGCAACCTTATTGGAGTTTTTTCTATCATAACAAATGAATAACCTGATTGGCTGGACAACTTCTAAAAGAGGGGATTAATGGCAAAGAAATGAGCTGACGTTTTGCAAAGGTTCATTTAGACAGCGTTCAGAAACAAATGATCATCGTGTTTGCAATGCATTTTAAACTGCAGTTCAGCCAGCCATCTAGACACCGTTAGGCTGTTAAATGTTGTTTAACATAAACTCCATCTCTGCAATCAGCCGAATAGGTTTGCATTCTATAATACTGAAAACAATACTAATGTCACTTAACATGTTTTATTTTCCAACTGATCACACACACAGTTCAGTCTTTAGTTTAAAAGTTAACCACTTCTCACATTACTATTTGTAACATTTAGTGATGATATATAAATTATACACAACAATTACAATCAGTTCAGCATAAAATGTAATGAAAATGCTCTATTTTAAGTTTCAGGCAGATTGCCCATGAGCAGCAACATACTTACAATTTTATACAAACAGATCACAGAAATGTTTTTTGCAAACAACTTTTTTAAGAATTTGCAGTTTTCTAACAATCTGATTACCTTTTAACATTATCTTATATTAAAAATACTGTATATTTGAACATGGAATGTTCACATTCCATATTCAAACATCAAAGCCTATGGCATTTCATTTCTGAAAATTATAACCTGAAGCAGGTCTTAGAAGATCAAAAACATTTTTTTTTAAATGGATTTTCATCTGTCTGTTGGAAGAAATTCAAGGTTGGAGTGTGTTTAATTTTATATTATTTCCCAGTTGTGTTGAGTATCAAACTTTTTGGTGCTTATGCAATTTCTTCTGAAATAAAAAAAATTATCACTATAAATCAACCATCATCCATTAACCTATCCCACGTTGAAATTTTTCTTTGTTGCATGTGACCACCATGTTAAATTTTTGTTGATGTTAAGCCTAACAAAATTTTTTTAAAATAATAATCATGGCGTTAAAAATTGTTTTATCTTTTACAAACAAAATAATATATTAATAAATATAAAAACAAAAAAAATTATATTTCCAAAGTTCATTTTAATATAAAAATTATGACACAGCAACATCTATTATTAAAAACGTTCCAATGCAGAAACAAATATGTTCGGGGTCAATCAGAAGGTCAGACGAGGTCAAAACAAAACAGGTTAAAATTTTACAAAAGTTGGGTGTTAATCACTAAATAAGCATTTCATTTACTTAGTAATTATAAATTTTTCATATTAGTTTGCAAGTGGAAACCATGATCTATTTATAATTAACTTTCTAAATTATTAAACTAGGTAGGAAGTTTTACAAAAAATTTCCACTTTAAAAGTATCCTTCTTTATCCCTCCTAATGGTAGAATTTGAATTTATTTCCTGATGGTGTAATGAACGGATAAAGGACACTGTTATAGTTTGTCCACAGGAAATTTTTTTAAAATTTCTAAAGTTTATACTTGATGTCCCAACAAAAAATATTTCTAAATTATTACTTTTTATTGGTAACCTATAGTAGGTATAATCAGATAACATCTGATATATATTTTCAGAAAATAAAATTACTTGGGGAAAAAATAATCTGACTTATAAAAGAACTCTGATGTAAAAACCAAGAAAGTAACTTACTTGATCCAGGTTTATCCACATCACGAACAATATGGGTCATTCCTGCCTTATAGCCAATAAAAGCAGTCAAATGAACTGGCTTTGAAGGATCATCTTTTGGAAAAGCTTTAACTTTACCCCTATGTCGCTTGCTTCTTTTCTTGGGCACAAAGCCCATAGAACCATGTCTAGGGGCTGAAAATTTTCGGTGACTCTGCAAAACAATACATAAATTATGTTTCTTAAAATTTAACATTATTAACACTGTTTTGATAGTGCTAAGTTATTACACGTCATAATAAACAATCATCATACCAATTTATACAATTGAAGAAATACAAGTTTATTTTTTTTGTAAGCTGTATTCTTTTTATTTAAAATTATAAAAAACACCTCATACTAAAATATTATAATCATGTAAATGAATCTTATACAGAAAAATGCTTGGCAATAATTTGGGTTAATATTAATATCTTACTCTTTGCATCAACAAAATTCTCAGCAAAAAAGTAGTTTATACAGTACTCTCAAAAAATTTAACTTCCTTAGCTTTAATTTTATTTCTCCTGACTTAATTCTTGTAGACAGACTCAATGCATTTCATGTTTCTATTATGCTTTCAAATTGAAGGGAATTTATATCATCATCTCAAAGCTGAATACTGGTATTTTATAAAATTAATCAATGTCATCCACACCGAGAGCCTGTCACACAGCAGTTGCCAATCTCACAGACCAATCCAGAAATTCTGATTTGTCCATTATAAAAAACATTTGGGCCGTCCCAAAGATGAATGAAGAGAGAGAAGTGCTGGCATCATTTGCAAAGTCCCTCAACCTGCAGCCAATGGCAATTGTCCCAGAAATGTGGTATTAGCAGACCACTGTTCCCTAAGATCACACGAGTATAAATGGAACCTTTACAAATTGAAGTTACAGCAATACCTACGTGAAGATTACCCTGATCAGCTGGTCCAGTTTAGTGAATGGTGTCTGAACAGAATACAGGAAGATCCACACTTTGGGTTCAAAATCATCCACACAATGAGGCAATTTCTACATTAATGGGAAGTTAAACAGAACATGCATTACTGGTCCCCTGAAAACACTCACCAGACTGATGCCAGCAAGATGAATGGAGCTCAAAGTGATGGTGTGGTGTAGGATACAGGAACCAGGATTATCGGTCCATTTTTCACTGGCAGTAATTTTAATGTGGAGGGTTACATGAACCTGCTGCAGGAGCATATTTTATCTTTATTCACAGAGGATGGCACATTTCCTGACTTTTTTCAACGAGACTGTGCCCCACCACACTTTAGACACTGTACATGAGACTACCTTTACCTTCAATTTCCCAGTAGGTGGATTGGCTGATAAGGTCCTGTCGAGTGACCCCACTTGCTCCTGATTTGATGCCATTGGACTTTTATTTGTGGGGACGTGAAGTCTCTTATGTATGCTGTCAAGAATACATATGCAATCTGCAGGAATGGATCTTTAATGCATGCAGCACTATCACATCAGATGTGTTGCACAATGTTGTACATGAATGAAAGGGACATCTACAGGCCTGCATACAAATTCAGGGACAGCACATTGAACACATATAACATAACATTTACATGCAGTGACATTACAGGAGTGGAATCTCTGACTTGGAACTTGTCCAGCTTTGGAGAATGACCTCATCCGCTAGCACTTTCGGTAGTGTAAAACTACCATCATCAGGCAGTACATAGAATACGACAGTTTAAGCTCTTCGAACGATATTCTGACGGTTTTACAAATTTCAATATCAAATATTTTGAACAATGTTTCTGACGGTTTAGCTGATTATGGTTTTTGAATGTTATTTAAAAGTTCTTACCTCATAGCAAGTAGATAAGAATGATAATAAATAAAAGTGTCTTATTGAGAAAAGGCCGTAAAAGAGCCTAATACATGCATGAAGTACACACCAAGGCAAAATTAAGCATGTGAGTAGCAAAGAAGTATTAATATCTGGGGTTGAGTTGTTGAAAGCTGTTATCCAAATTTGTGGGAGCTCAAGAGTTGCATGATGCAGTAGTAGAAATGTAGAGTGTCTCCCAAGTAAATAGCTCTTTTTGCTCGTTACAGCATTTCAGTAATTTTGTTTTGTTCCATTGAGGCTGGTAGTTGTGGATGAGTACTTTCTTTGCTAATTCTGTAACTGGCCTGTTATTTTTGATGTCTTCTTGATGTTCAAAGATATGTGAACTTAATCTTCTGGCAGTGGCCCCCTACATAATTGGTTTCTTCACCAGACAGTGTGTGCTTTAGCAGGATTTGGTAAACATCGGATTTTTCGTTCCACTGGTACTTGTCCCTATCATTACATAGTAGTCTTCTTAGATTTGGTTGTGGTATCATTGGCAGAATATAACCATTACTTCATATAACATGCATAACATGTACAAGGTAGGTCAATAAATCTTACAGCAAACAATTCTTTGTGAAATTCTGACCCTAAATGATGTGCCACACGACCCCTTTCCAATTTACAGTTTTGGAGTTGAGTTCAAGATGGCAGTTGTGCATGTAATACATCAATTTATTATCCCTTGATCTAATGTGTTCCTGACACAAGCAAATTAACTTTGGGTACATTCTATATTCTGTAGCAGAAGTGTTAAGTGACTTTGTTTCCCATCCTGTGTATATACAGGGTGATTCAAAAGTCACAGAAATTTTAAAAAATTAATAACTCACCAAATATTTACAGTACGGTGATGCAGTTTTTACAGAAATGCTTAGAAGTGGGATTTTTTTTTGTGTAATAAAAATTTTAGTACCAAAATAGTTACATTTCTTGCCATAGATGGCACAGTAGCATTTGTAAATTTAAAATAAGAATAAAAATGTTCTTAGTGTAAGCTCTAGTAACAAGTACAAGCAAATTATGTAATCTTATCAAGTGCCGTCTATTTTTCTGTATTTCTCTGACTTTTGAATCACCCAAACAAACATTCTCATTTTATACTAATATATAAAATGAGAATGTTTGTTTGCTAGAGGTAATCTCAGAATCTACTAAACTAAATTTTAAAATTCTTCCACTACCAGAAAGCTTATTCCTTCCAGATGATATATTATTTTCATATTAAAAAAGAAAATGAAGAGAACAATGTTTTTACTGCCACATTTGCCTCACTTTGTTGTCTAATCCATTCAAGATCGATTCCCTTCACCTAATGGACTTTTTTAAATTTATTATTTTATATTTTTGGTTTCAATTCATGTAGTTCAGATAGTTGTGTATATGTTTATATTGTCTTGGTTGTTTGTTTCTTATAATATACTTATGATATAAGGAGCAAATTTACTTCCTGTATATGAAACTAAACTTTTCTAAGTAGACCTAAATTATTTTTGTGTGTTCATTGTTTTAGTATTAATCCTACCATTTCATTATTTAACCCTTTATTGCCTGACGGGACTTTCTAGTCCCACTATCTTTGATATATTTTATTTCATAGTGTATGCATTATAGCTTTCTGGGACTTACATTTTATCATTGTATAAAGTGTTCTTTTTCTCTTCTATAGGGTAGTAACTTTCAAACTGTTCCTGTTTTAGTTTTGTTGAAAAAAGTTTCACATCATGTGTTGTTTGAATGGTAGTAGCTGATATTGCTTTCTTTGTTGCCAAATTCTACTTATTGTTTTCAAGTTAAATGTCTTTGTATTTTTTAATATGTATTCTAGATATGTGTAGTTTGATTTTAATGTATTATGTTTGTAGAATTAATGGTTTGCAAGCTGTATGAGATCAAAATATGTTTGGGACTTATGAGTCCCGTCAGGCCTGAGGGAATCTTTTTTGTAAATGTTAGAAATTTGTATTTTCTACATTGTGCTTTATAAATTTATGAATTTGTTTAACATTTTTATAGTTAATATACATATAAGACTTATATA